GGTTTTTGCAGATTCATGGTGGAGGTGAAAAATGAAAAAGATCGGCATAACTTTTTGTGTTGTTTCCCACAGACAGCGTCAAATGTTGATGCATAGAGCCGGAGGGGTATTGGAACAACGTAAATCCGATCGTGAATCTACAAGAAAGTAAAGAACACAAGATGTATTGTGGTTCACCCCAATGTTTGGGTTACGTCCACATTGATGTTAATTGTATTTCTATGTATGAATGTATAGATTACAAGCGTGAGGGGGAGTCCCCCCAGAGAAAGAGAGGGTTTGAGAAAGCTTCTCTGTGAGGATGAGAGCTCTGAATATGAGAGCCTTTGTTTGGGAATGTGAGGCTTTTGGATTGTGAGAATGAGGAGTCCCTTTTATAGACTAAGGGCTCCTCACTTATTACATATTTGCCCCTTAATTTATTACATAATTACATTTGAGTCTCTCGAGTCTTTATACGAGGTCTAAATACAGAGGCTCTAAGTATGGTACAAACAATTTTAAATTTCAATCTTATTAAAGAATTAAAGTTAAAAACCCTCTATTTCAAATCTATGCTCTCTTACCTCTTGTTTTCAGTTAGTTTCCCGTCTTTTTACTTCTTGCCATTATATCTCAACCACCACTCTCTGCTTCTTAGATTAATCAAGAATCTTCCTCGATTGTGCTTTTGGGTGCCGAGTTGCTTTTAAAGTCGAAGTTGCATTATTTGGCTGGAATATAAGATCACTTTTACGCGGGTGGCTGGTTTACCCTCATTTTTCGTTTGAGCCTTTGGCTCTTCCATTTACAAGTTTTTCCTGTGGTGGTTTTAGATTTCAGTCGAATGGTGGTGCGGCTGCTGTGTTCCTTGCCAGATTTAAGGTTTTCTATTTTGTGTTGTTGTGGGCTATGTCTGAGCTTTTTTTTTTCCCTGGGGTTTTGCTTGACTTATAATGAATTAGACCTAGCATTTTACACCCGACCCGTTAATATTAGTATTTGGATGGATGCTTAACGGGTTGAGTTGCTAACAGGTGAACCCGTTAAATAACAGATCACTTTGGGTCAACCTGCTAGATCCGTTAGCACCCGTTAGTTGAGGATGTTTGAGTAATTTCACTAAAGATTTAGATTAGTCTAAAGTGCTCTAATAATTGTTTTCTTAAGTATCACACTCTGAGTTTAAAAGATTCAAACAGAGAATAAAGAAAGATATCTCATAAGATCAATGAGATCAATGAAGCCTACACAATTTTACCCTCTAAATCTTATCATAAAATCATTTGCAGCCTACCATATTAATGCAAAAAGCAGTAGAAGAATCAACATCTAAGTTTCTAATGTAAAATAATTCACAACATTATTCCAGATGGACATCATAGCAGGTGAACTAGACACGCCATCCTATTGAGTTGTAAAGGTCCACTTGGCAGTGAAATTTGTAGTTACTAAGTGTAAGTGTATTGGAATGTAGAAGAACAAAAAAAAAAACGTTAACAGGTGAAACGGGTGATCTATTAGCTTAACGGGTTGGGTTCGGATGACCCGTTAGCTTAATGGGTCGGATTGAACCTAACTCAAACCCGATAAACTCGATTCGTTTACAGGTTTATAAGGAATGTATTGTTGACAAAGACAACAACAATTAGTAATGTACAATTCAGACGCCAAGGTGACATAGTTAAAACGAGTACCATCAATGTAAACAAACTTCACAAACTCTCACAAAAAGACAATAAAATTGTGCATTGAAAACATATTCATTTTTTGCAACTTATACATAGGTCTAACTAAAAACCTTAAAAAAAAAAGAACTTTAACGAAAAGCTCCCGGTACTGTTCACTTTAACGAAAAACTACATTTTTACACTAAAAAGTCAATCATAGTACTATTTACTTTACCCTTTCTCTTAAAAAAAATTACTACTATGTGGGACCGGTGCATCTTATCTTGCTCAGATGTGTCAAAACTATAACACCCATACAAATTAAGGTGGTCTACATATAAATTGGTTTACTAATCAATTTTAATTTATTTTTAATTTATATGTAGACCGCCTTAATTTGTAAGTGTTGGTGTAGATTGGACACATCCAAGTAGGATAAGGTGCACCGGTCCCATATAGTCGTGAGTTTTTTTTTAAAGGTTTTTAGTTAAAAAAACCAACCAGCAATTAGTAGATTATATAATTTTTGAATTACTACATAATGATCATAAATGATCTATTTGAGATATTATTGTGTGAAACTAGAACAATGTCACATAATATAACTAATTTATCTATGTTATAACATATAATTATATTATTAATACGATCTCCAAACATAAAATCGTCATCTACACATACTATACCATGTGACTGTGGCTAAGGGCATGCTGAAATTTCTCATAACCTCTCCACGCCCAAAAATGATTGATAACCGTGACTTGTCATCAGTTGTCCTCCTTTCAAAAAAAAAAAAAAAAAAACTATATCATGTAACTACGTTCTAGTAATAGACAACAGTTTTTATTAGTTAAATATGTGAGATTCTTTGAGAATACGCACAAACGATTATCGATGGAACTCATAAATGAACACCAAGAAATCACATCATTATTAAACTTGTCGTCTAGTTTGCATTTCAACTCTTTTTATCTTCAGCAATATGATGGTCCAAGGACTTCACAACTTATGCCGGTAAAAGTTTTTCTCACCCCATTCTCTTTAATTTCAGTAATTTTTAAGATAAGAAAATAAAACAAGTCTACCGTCATCACATTTTCATGACCCAATAATACAATACCAACGCATAATTTTATCTTAATGTGACTTTTTAAAATAAGATGTCTCATAACGATGAACTTGTTATACGTAAGTTGCTATCTAAATTTAATATTTTCTAGATAAGATACTTTGGAAAGAAAAGCAGTGCCTTGGAGGAAAAGGTATTTGGTTGCTTAACGGAACCACTGGCCTTAACCTATCAAGGTCCAAAGCAAAATACTCGACGTTGGACATCTTTACGCCAATTAATAGGTCGGTCCTATGCATTCAAGCAGAAAATCCAATGCCTTCGTCTTGAAGGGTAGGTTAGAATATGCGAAATTACCAAATTGTACAAATCAAACAATAGCAACAATATTTGCTATTTTAGGAACTACTTTGAATCTTTGACAACGGCTTTAATTACAGTTTGGACAGTTAATTTAGTTTTAGGGAGTTCGAGAAATTCTTCCGTACAAATGTAGTTTTAAATTGATCTTCTATATACAACGTTATTTTTATATTCACTTATCTCGTGTTGGTTTTGATAATTTGATCAATTATTATTCATATTTATACTCTCACGTATTGATCTTGATTCCCTGATCAATTATTATGATAAATACGTCAATTTGTGTGTTAGACAATCAATGCGTGCTGATCTTGATTACCCAATTAATTATTATGAGAAACACGTCAACTTGTGAGTTAGACAATTAGTGCATAACGCTCCAACCAGTATATATACATGGGTGTTGTAGGTTTATTTGCATGCATGCAGAATTTTGCATTTTTGCACTTTGAAAGTAAACTCTCTCATGTAGAGAATGGAAGCCTAAAAGTTTAGTGCTATTAGTGGAAGTACGTTAGAGAAAATGCCTTTAACCAAATGCATACACATCCAAGAATGGGACATATTTCACTGCCCTCCATTTAGGATGGTGTCCAAACATTGCCCTAGGGACTCGGGAGGATAACTAAATCCAAAATAGTATGTACTTTCCATACTTTGCCCTTGAAAAGTTACCAAAGTTGTTGGTGGAACCATCTTAGTAGCAAATTGCAGAAGCTAACCGTTCAATTAATTTGTCATGCAAATTTCTACAATGTTAGATGTAAATAAATTGGTTTATAAGTCTGCAACAACTCATTTGTCGAATCAACTAACTTAGAGCATCTCTAAAGGAGATGTCAAATTTTAAACATCAAAATGATATGATAGTTGATAGCTTATGTGGCAATTTGACATTTTATACAATATTTTGCTCCACCCAATATGTTAAATAATAATGTCATTTAATAAATTTTTTTTTATCTTTTTGTGGAGTTCAATGGATAAGGCAACCAATCAAATATTTCAAAAATATAACAACATTTATTATATATTATATTAATCTATTAAAAAATCATTTAATAAATTTGACATCAGTTATCAAATTTGACAGCAAAAGGCTTTGCCTTCAAATGATTCAGCGCCACATAAGAAATTGAAGGCTTGGTAGAAGAGAGTTTGCTGCCATTTTATACTGTTGTATGCCTACGTGGCAATTTTGACATCTCTTTTAAAAATGCTTTTAATTATTGAATTAATTGACTCATTTTTCGACCGTCTGTCGACTAATCCTCCAAATTAAGTATGAGCATATGTTAATCTTGGCGCGGATGTGGATCAAATACTAAACCCTAAATGCATTTAAATTTGTAATATTTTCTTACCAACTTTTACCATGAGGAATGCAAATCATCAATTTTCTATTAAAGGCATAGAAAAACACGCACTTTGTATAAAACACATTTGAAATCTGATCCAGCTTAATTATTTAGTCCCCATTCTACCCCCACAAAAGTTGCCATTCTGCAGCAGTCTAGCAAAAAACCGAAGAAGAAAGACATGCTAGATGCTTTTACCTTAGCGGTAAAAAATTATCATGCTTGTATACTTTGGTCGTACCCAGTGCATAAGACTTTCGCTTTACGCAGGGTTTGGAAGAGGTGAATGTCGGCTAGCCTTACCCCCATTTATAGAGAGACTGCTCCCAAATCTCGAACCCAAGACCTACCACTCATGGACGAAAGCACTTGTCATCGCACCAAGTGCGACCTCTATGCTTATATACTTTGGTGCTGGCAAAAATCTCTACCTCTCTTCCCTCTAACAACTTAATTTCACCTTATGACGTTATTGTTTATTAAAAATAATCAAGACGAGGGCAAATTTGGAAGAAAAAGTGGAAAAATACAGTGTAATAATTTACTAGCTCGAGATCGCCCACCCTCTGCTTTTTATTCTAACACAGGAAGCAACAGAAGCATCATCGTCATCCTCAGCAAGAAGAGATTAAAGAGTCAAACACCTCAACCCTTGTTCAGTTCCTTCCCAATTTTCTCTCTCTACAACTTTCTCTCTCTAAAATCCATCTCTTTCCTCGTGGAATCGCAAACTTTCAGAGCCGCGCCTCTTTGCAATCCCAAATCTTTTTCATTAATTTATTACGGTTTTGTCCCCAAGTCTTCGCCTTTTTTTTAATTTTTTTTTTATACCCATTGCCATAAAAAACCCTAGCCTCACTCGCTGCCCGAAACCCCAACTCGCGAAGTTCCTCTCCCGTCTGGAAATTGGTATTTTGTTCAAAACCCTAGCTTTGTTTTCTGTTGCAATTTATGGTGATTTTGGTGTTAGAATCGATGATTTGGAATGCGAATTTGTTGCAGTACCATTGGGAATTTAGCTCGGATTTTAGGGCTCTTTGAGATTCTTAGGCTTAATAGCAGATTTAGGTTTGTATTAGTGCTCAGGTTTGGTATTGTTAATTTTACGTAGTTTGAAAATTGGTGTGCTTATTCTCTGGGCACTTATTGGTTGAGCTTGCGGTTTAACTGTTGGGGATTTCTAATGTGTCTCAGCTAAAGAATTGCAGATCAAATTGTTTGGGTTAGGTTCTGTTGCTTTTTTTTTTTAATTTTTTTCTATATGTATTGAAAATTGGGACTTATTATTTACGTACATGTGTAATGTGAAAGATATGAACTTTACGAAATTGGGTTGTGAATTACGAGGCCAAAGATTTTATTAGCTGCTCTAGGAGTTTAACGTTTCGTTCATGATATCAAGTTTGGTAACTTTAAAGCAAATGCGCACGTTTCATTTTAGGTTTGAATGTTCCCCTAGTAAATACAATACTTGTTGAGAGAAAATCAAAACTGTAGGCATTTCTTAGATATATGTTGCCTGAACAGGCCTGTGTAAAATTTTACATGTTAGTTGCTTCAGTAGAGTTCTAGCTTTTTTCTTCATATTGGAACTCCTAACTGTTTCTTCATATTGGAGGGAGCGAATTTTCACTTAACTGTAAATACCTGATGGTTGTAAATTTTAGTGCGAGAAACTTTAGAAGTCAAATGTTCAACATTATTTGTAGGATTAGGTTTACAAAAGACTATATAACTGATTAAGCAACAAATAGATTCTGTACTCGGATCACACTTTTCAAATCATCCATCTTAAATTGTTTCCGAGAACTAAAAATTCTTTTGCTCCATACTCCACCCATCCTGTCTATGTATACATATATAATTTTGGAAGTGTGCAATTCATTGTAGGTTCTGAAAGACTGTCATGTTTACCAGCAAAGAGTTTTGCCTTGAAGGAATGCCAACCTGCGTTATGTAGCTTATGACTGAAGATATTTGCATACATTATTCATGAGGTGAATCCTTGCGTTGCATCCATTATCTTCTCAAATTTGTATTTCTGCATTAAACTAATGATACTGTAGTTTCTTATGGTGATGGCTTTCATCATAATAACGGGGAACCGTGATTTAACTTGATGGTTTAGCGTGACAGCTTCTTGTAGCAGTTCGATGCTGGGGGCAGTATGCCGATGATAGTTGGGAGAAATGAGCAGGTATCATGCCACTGGCTGCACTAGTGCAGTTAACAACACAGCCATAGGTGGGACATCGGGGAGGGATTCTACCCGAGCTGAATCGGCTGCATCTCCGAACTTGCCTCTAGCTTCTAGGTAACTGTGCTCCACAAATATGTTGCATTACATTCTCTTTCATGGAAAAAAAAAATCTGTTTTTATTTTAGGTCATATTGTAATTTTAATTTCAATGGTAGTTAATGTTTAGTTTTTCACATTAGTGGACTTCTTGTTTGCCAATTTTTCACTATGTTATAATAAATAGTGTTTCCCATAAATATTTAAATGATATTTATTAGGTCATCATTTGTAGGCTGGTTTGTCTCGAAATTTTGCAACTTCTTACATTTCCAATATTATATTGTCTCTATAATGGTTTTATAACTTAGTTTTTTCCCCAGTTTACTGAGTTACTTAATTTTTTAATTATTGATAAGTTGACTGTTTCCCCTGTTATAAAATTTGGTGCGCTGTTTTTAACTATGCAGGCGCTCTTCACAGTTAAACCCTTACAAGTTGAAGTGTGATAAAGACGATTTGAATTCCCGGTAATGTTCACACAGATTAGTGCCCTTTTCTTGAAATATCTGTAAAGAAGAGAATTTATGTGCTGTTACAGTCTTGAGTTCCTTTATTTGCAGGAATTTTTTTACCACTGGATACACTAACGTATATATTATTTTCAAAATGTTATGTTTATTATATTTTTATATTTTTTGTTCCATTAAATTTATATCTGCTGATTATGGTTCTCAGTATAAGTCATTTCCATTTTATTTAACCCCAGACTTGGGCCACCTGACTTTCACCCCCAAAAACCAAATTGCCCAGAGGAAACTCTTACCGAAGAATATGTGCAAGCTGGATACAGAGAGACTGTTGAAGGAATTGAGGTACAATTTTATAATCTAGTAATTGGTAGAAATATTCAAGATGTTCTTAATTCTTAAGAAAGACTACCCATCTGAAAATCCACTGCGGTTGTTTCTTCACAAAAACCCACCGAAATTTACTCCTTATAACCATTTGTGCGGATCCTTTTGCACTTCTTCGAAGAGTCATTTTTTGTCCTTTTTTTTAATACCAAATCATTTATACTGCGTATTTTGATGCTGAAGGCCATTTTTATATGGTCCGCTCTTATTGGATAACAGTAATTATTATTACTATATATCTTGTTAGCGTATTTTGAGATTCAAATTTTTGTGGGTCCAAACACATGGGTGTTTATAATGACTTCATGTGCCAAAAATTCCAGGAATCAAGAGAGGTTTCTCTAAGTCAGGCTCCAACTTTTGGCAAGCCCCTTGTCTTCAGGTGCAAAGAGGTACATCACTTAGTTTGGAAAGTTATGAGGGATATATCGATTTTAATATTGATGTAGTTCCACCACTTTCTTTGGGTTCATGTATTTTTCAATGCTAGTATTTTATATGATATTTTGGATTCTCTTAATTTCCAGGCCATCAAAATACGTTTTAGGGCAATTAATGAATCTCGTGCTCAAAAGAGAAAGGTAGTTTATCCTTGCTCAACAATTTTTTATGTTTAGGAAATTTCTTCTGCAGCAAACATGCATATTGCCATATGTTCTTGTATTAAAGTGCTTTGGAGGTTACTACATGATTGATGTCACATCATGGACTGCTGCATGTTTAATTTTTTTTCCCATGGCAGGCTGGTCAAGTGTACGGTGTTCCTCTTGTTGATTCACTGTTGTCAAAGCCAGGTGTTTTTCCTGAACAAAAGCCCTGTGGTGAAGGGTTGCGAAAAAAATGGATTGAGGTATGCCTTTTCTTTTCTGGAACACACAGTTGCTTCTAATAAATGTTTCTTTTCTTGAACACACAGTTGCTTCTAATAAATGTTAACCTTATTTTTGTATAGAAAGATTAAAGGCATAGACCGTACAATCCACTCTAATTGCGCACTTCTGCTTGAGAAACTCTGAAACATAGGAATGGCTAGTAGCTATAACCCCTTTGGTTACACTGTCAAGTAGATAAGAAGCATTGTGATATGGTGACTTGGGTCGTCCCAAACATCTTAATGTCTTGCCGAGGGCAGAAAAATGAGGGCCACAGTTACCCAATCAACTTGTCAAATGTTTGTTTGTTTGTTTTTTTTTTTTTTTTTTTTTTTTTTGTACAAAAGGGTTCATCAAAATGGTGACAACCTAGTATGGGTGGTGAGAATTTGAACAACCTCAGTGTTTTGAAATAACTGATGAGAGGTTTTGTTGTTGAATTCCATGACTCAATAAGTCATTCTATTTATTCTTGTTTATAAGCAGATTATAATATATTTCCCATTTGCATACAGGGTCTATCACAACAACACAAGCGCTTGCGTTCATTGGCTGATCATGTCCCTCATGGATATAGGAAAAGATATTTATTTGAAGTTCTTACAAGGAATAATGTTCCATTGCTGAGAGCAACTTGGTTTATTAAAGTAACTTATCTTAATCAGGTATATATTTCGAGCAACTTGGTTTATTAAAGTAACTTATCTTAATCAGGTATATATTTCCTTACAATCATAACAGAGCTGGGTTTTGATCATAACCTGTTTGCCAATACTTCTCATATTGGAATATAGCTGACACTTCACCATATTATTGATGTTTTTGCTGCAGGTCAGGCCAGGTTCTACCAATATATCTTCTGGGACATCTGATAAAGCTCAGTTGTCCCGCACAGAGCTGTGGACAAAAGATATTATTGATTACCTGCAGTACCTTCTCGATGAGTTATTCTCAAGAAATAGTTCTCACTCCACTTCACTCAACAGAGATAGATCGCCACAAATTCTCTATGCTGGGTCACTGCCACAAAGGGGTGATCCAGCATCAGCAGTCCTTGATGGTGAGGAGCCTTCTATACATTTCAAATGGTGGTATGTGGTGCGGCTTCTGCAATGGCATCATGCTGAGGGACTGCTTCTTCCTACACTCATCATTGAGTGGGTTCTAAGTCAACTACAGGTATTACTTTTTATGTGTTTATTTTTTCTAAACACTATTTACTGAGGTTTAAATTATCTTAATCTGCCTCTTATAATCATAGTTATTCTATTACAGGAGAAAGAATTGCTTGAGATTATGCAGTTGCTTTTGCCTATTATATACGGTGTTCTGGAAACTATTGTTTTATCTCAAACATATGTGCGCAATCTTGTGAGAGTAGCTGTACGTTTCATCGGCGAACCTGCTCAAGGTGGATCAGATCTTGTAGATAACTCCCATAGGGGGTATACAGTGTCTTCTTTGGTTGAGATGCTTCGCTATTTAATAATTGCTGTGCCTGATACCTTTGTAGCTTTTGATTGCTTTCCTCTACCATCCTCTGTAGTCTCCTATGTTGCAAATGATGGATTACCAAAGATGTCTGATGCGAGAAAGATTAAAAATGTTTCAGCAGAAGTTGCTTCTGCATTCAGAAGTAAAGTTTTTGATACTCAATATCAGTCCCTGGCTTTTGATCATATTGTTTCATCCATTCAGAAACATGCTGAAAATCTTGCTAAGGCTGCAAGACCTAGCTATCCAGGCCATAGTATAGCTAAAGCTGTACAGGCCCTAGATGGATCTCTTGTGCAGGGAGATGTTCGAGCGGCTTATAGATTTCTGTTTGAAGATCCTTGTGATGGAGTTGCAAATGAAAGTTGGATTGCAGGAGTTAGTCCATGTTTGCGAACTTCGTTGAAGTGGATTGGGACTGCAAACTTGTCATGTGTTTGCTCTGTATTTTTCCTCTGTGAGTGGGCAACATGTGATTTCAGGGATTTTAGGACTGCCCCACCTTGTGAGCTGAAATTTACTGGCAGAAAGGATTTCTCCCAGGTATTTGTTGTTACTCGGCTTTTGAAGCTAAAGATGAGAGATTTGCAACTTTCACCTCAACGTAAGAATGATAGCATCCCTGGAGTCAGTAGTGTTGCAAAAGGTTCTACCCAGCAGAACAATTTTCCTGTCACAGTTTCCATGGGAAATTCCTGTGAAATTAAACCAAAAAATGTTGATCAAAGAAGTATGAAATCATCAAATATATTTGAGAGCCCTGGTCCTTTACATGATATCATAGTGTGTTGGATTGATCAACATGAAGCAGGCAAAGGAGAAGGTTTCAAGCGCCTTCAACTACTTGTAATCGAACTTATCCGGTCTGGTATTTTTAATCCTCATGCCTATGTTAGGCAACTGATAGTTAGTGGAATTATGGATACCAATGGAACGGGGGTTGAAGTCGACCGTTGGAATAGGCATTTTCGTATCTTGAAGCTGTTGCCTGCGCACTTTATGCACGATGCTTTGGAAGAAGCAGGGATTGCTGAAGGGCCACAACTTTCAGAGGCCATGAACTTCTACTCAACTGAGCGCCGCCTAATACTTCGTGGGCTTCTCTCCAATCAAAATAAAAATGTGAATATGAATATGTCTGTTCTGAAGCAAAAGCATTATTCCATTCCTGGAAAAGATGGTGGTTTGCCAGTTTCTGTGGATCGGTGGAAGGCTGTTCAGCCATCACCCAATGTATTGTCTGGTAAAAGTAGTAAGACTGATGTTGATGTCGAAGAACTAAAGGAAGCAATATCAGTTCTGTTGCATCTCCCAAGTAGTTCATCCCCAACGACAGAAACAGGGTTTGATGAATCCCAAGGAAGTGTTAAGAGGCCGTTTGGGTCAACCTTTAACAAGATGGATCTGGGAGAAGGCACCCCTGGGTGTGAAGAATGCAGAAGAGCAAAGAGGCAAAAAGTGAGTGACGAAAGGAGCTCATGCATCCAAGGAAATTCTCCAATTCCTTCAGATGATGAAGATGCCTGGTGGATGAGGAAGAGACCTAAGTCCTTGGAGCCATTGAAGGTTGATCCACCCGTTAAATCGACCAAACAGGTCTCTAGGAACCGGCAGAAGATAGTTCGTAAAACTCAAAGCCTTGCTCAACTTGCAGCTGCTAGGATTGAAGGTAGCCAGGGAGCATCTACGAGTCATGTCTGCAATAATAAAGTAAGCTGTCCTCACCATAAAGGTGGAGTTGAGGGGGAAACCCCGAAGTTTGTAGATCCAACCAAAATGAACCATGGTGGGGATATTGTTTCAATTGGAAAAGCTTTAAAGCGGCTGCGATTTGTAGAGAAGAGGACAATTACGGTTTGGTTGATGACTGTTATTAGGCAGCTTGTTGAAGAGACTGAAAAGACCATTGCGAAGGTTGGCCAATTTGGTAGGAATTTCACATCTGTTGATGATAGGAGCTCCATACGGTGGAAGCTTGGTGAAGATGAACTTTCTGCTGCACTGTATTTGATGGATGTTTCAAATGATTTAGTTTCAGCAGTCAAGTTTCTGCTTTGGTTGCTGCCAAAGGTTAATGGCCCCAGTTCTACAATCCATAGTGGGAGGAACATTATGCTGTTGCCAAGAAATGCTGAAAGTCAAGTGTGTGAAGTGGGGGAGGCATTTCTGGTATCATCACTCCGAAGGTGCATTCTCTTTCTTTATATCCCATAAAACTTAAACAAAATGTTGAGATAAGTCTGTTTCTCTTCTCTTATTGGCAGATTTGCTTATCCTTCCCTCTTATCATTTTTCTCTTTAAAAAATAACTTTTATCATGCATGCATGGGTTTCACTTTTTGATTCTCTTTGGAAGTAGATAAAATAAGTGAATGAAGTTTAAAATCCTGAGAGCTCGTTGTACAAACCACATTCAAATTAGTTTAGTCTTTTTTTTTTTAATTTTTTTTTATTAGCTAGTGTAAGACAGTCGGAATAAATTTGCTTTATTCTGTCCAACTAAAATTAGAGCACTTGTTCTTAGTATTTGTAACCTTGTGTCTTTAGAAACATACACTTATCAACCCAGTATGAAATAGTTTTCATGACAGCAAATGCTCCATCTTTGGGAGCAATTTGTTTCCTGATTTTAAAAATTACATTTACTTATATCATCATCAACGTCCTTGTCCAGTACCTTTAGTACTAGTGTGTTCCCCCTGACTTATCTGCTTATCTCTTGACATAAACACTTAAGCATTCTACTTTGGATTCCGTTGAGTCTCCTAACAGTGGATTTGGTTCAGGTATGAGAACATACTTATTGCTACAGATCTTATTCCAGAAGTCTTGTCAGTTACAATGCACCGTGCTTCAGCCATAGTGGCACCTAATGGAAGAGTTTCAGGTTCAGCTGCCTTAGCATACAGTCGGTATTTATTGAAGCGATACAGCAATGTAGCTAGTGTCATTGAATGGGAAAAGAATTTCAAGCCAACATGTGATAAGAGACTTCTTTCTGAACTTGAGTCTGGACAGTCAGTGGATGGAGAGTTGGGGTTTCCGCTTGGTGTTCCAGCAGGAGTCGAAGATCTTGATGATTTTTTCCGCCAAAAGATTAGCGGTGTTCGGTTATCCAGGGTGGGTTTAAACATGAAAGAAATAGTGCAACGAAATGTGAATGTTGATGATGCCCTTCAGTATTTTTTTGGGAAAGAGAGAAAGCTCTTTGCTACTGGTGCTCCTAAAGGCCCTCCTGTTGATAAATGGGATGACGGATGTCAGATATCTCAAAAAGTAATTACAGAACTGATGGACTGCATTAGGCAGACTGGTGGTGCTGCTCAAGAAGGGGATCCATCTTTGGTGTCTTCTGCCGTTTCTGCTATTGTCGGCAATGTAGGGCTAATTATAGCAAAGATTCCAGATTTTAGAATGGGGGGTAGCTATTCAACCTTTCCATCTGCCACTGATTCCTTGAACTTCGCTAGGCGTATTTTGCGTATCCATATAAGTTGCCTATGCCTCCTTAAGGAAGCTCTTGGAGAGCGCCAAACCCGTGTATTTGAGGTAGCTCTTGCGACAGAAGCTTGTTCTGCTCTTGCTCCTGGAAAGGCGTCTCGAAATCAATATCAATCCTCTCCTGAATCCCATGATTCCAACACTAACATGTCTAATGACATTTTGAACAGTAAAGTAGTTATTGGGAGGACAACAAAAGTTGCAGCTGCTGTTTCTGCACTAATCATTGGGGCGGTTGTTCAAGGGGTTACTAGCTTGGAGAGATTGGTGACTCTATTCAGGTTAAAGGAAAGGTTGGACGTAATTCAATTTGTAAGGAGTAGTAGATCCAACTCTAATGGCAATGCTCGTTCTGCTGGGGCATTTAAGGGTGATAACTTGCTTGAAGTTTATGTGCATTGGTTTAGACTTCTTGTTGGAAACTGCAGAACAGTCTCTGATGGATTGGTCGTGGAACTCTTGGGTGAACCCTCTGTAGTAGCTCTTTCAAGGATGCAACGTATGCTCCCTCTTGGTTTGGTTTTTCCACCTGCCTATTCTATATTTGCTTTTGTTATGTGGCGGCCATACCTTCTTAGCACTAGCTTTGCAGCGCGTGATGATTTTAACCAATCATATCAATCTTTAACAACAGCTATAGGTGATGCTATAAAGCACTCTCCTTTTCGAGATGTGTGTTTGAGAGATAGTCAGGGTTTCTATGATATTGTAGCTGCAGATGGCAGTGATGCTGAATTTGCAGCCATGCTAGAGTTAAATGGTTCAGACATGCATAAAAAATCCATGGCTTTTGTTCCATTACGTGCAAGGCTTTTCCTAAATGCCATAATGGATTGTAAGATGCCACACTCTTCATTTACACAGGGTGAAGCAAATCAGGTCTCTGGACATGGTGAGTCTAAAGTTAAATTTGCAGAGCGTGAAACAAAGCTTGTAGATAAGCTTGTACATATTCTAGATACCCTGCAACCTGCAAAATTTCATTGGCAGTGGGTAGAGCTTAGGCTCCTTTTGAATGAACAGGCCCTTATTGATAAACTTGAGACTCAAGATGCGTCTTTAGTGGATGCCATTCGGTCGTCCTCGCCTAGTCCTGAAAGGGCTGCTGCCTCCGAGAATGAGAAACATTTCATCGAGATCATCCTTACAAGGTTATTAGTTAGACCTGATGCTGCACCCCTTTTCTCGGATGTGGTTCATCTTTTTGGGAGGTCACTAGCAGATTCTATGTTGTTGCAGGTCAAATGGTTCCTGGGTGGCACAGATGTTCTTTATGGACGAAAAACAATTAGACAACGACTTCTTAATATTGCTGAGAGTAAAGGTCTCTCAACTAAGACCCAATTTTGGAAGCCGTGGGGATGGTGTATTTATGATGTTGATCCTGTAACAAACAGGGGAGATAAGAGAAAATTTGAAGTCACTTCCCTTGAAGAGGGTGAGATGGTTGAAGAGGGAACAGACTCAAAAAAGTATGGGAAAGGGGCCAGTCAAACGTTGGACATTGAAAGCTACAATGTCACTCAGCATTATGTGACAGAGAGGGCTCTCATTGAATTACTTCTTCCATGTATAGATCAAAGTTCTGATGAGTCGCGCAATACCTTTGCAAATGATTTGATCAAGCAGTTGATTAGTATTGAGCAACAAATTAGTGCAGGTACTCGTGGGACACATAAGCAAGCAGGACCAACTCCTTCTGGAGTTGAAGGTCCCACTGGCAAAGGAAATAGCCGCAAAGGTATAAGGGGTGGCAGTCCTGGATTAGCTAGGCGTGCAGCAGGAGCAGCTGATTATGCTCCACCGTCCCCTGCAGCTTTGCGAGCTTCTATGTCGCTGCGGTTGCATTTGCTCTTAAGATTGCTTCCTATCATATGGGCAGACAGGTAATTGTACAATTTATGGTGAGGTATTGTACTAATTTTGATTGCATGAGCATGTGCCTGTTTGTCTTGGTTAGCAATTGCCTGTATCTCCCTCGCTGCTGATTGTTTCTATATTAGTGTCACTGAAGTGTGATTATTTGGTTATGTTGTTCATCTAATTGTGATTTGTGGGGCAGCTATGGTGTTGCAAAGACTTGCTTCTTGAATATCTGTTTGATTCCTTTTTCTTGCTTTGCAGTTTTTAAACAATCTAGTTGAACTGCGTATTTAATAACCCTTTTTGATACATTTTGTTTTTTGTTATTGTGTAAGGATGTAAACAGAAGTGAATTATGAATATATTAATGCATCATATATAGGGTGCATCAGGTGGTAAAGAAACTGTCATTTCTGTAAGTATGATTATCAGAATGATAATTTGAGAGCTTTTATCTTCATGTTCTCAACGTGTAGAAATGTTGTAGGGTATAAGACACTTAAACCCCATAACAAATGTTACCAAGTTAATTAAGAGTCCACTTGTGGTGCATCCTCCCGACTTTCATTAATGATTTCAGTTAGTACTTTATCCTTCGACAACCCAACCATAGCAAAGTAAGAAAGATCTGAAATGAATATAAACGTGTTGTTCTATGTAGTTAAAAAATGAGCATAAAATTTCCCTTATGGCATTTATAGTTTTATATCACTGTAATTTGTTTGCTGTATTAAAAACCCTACCCAAAACCGACGTCGGTTTGTGTATGGGCTTTTTCATTTTTATTTTTATTTTTTGAAAAAAAAAAGCCACATGCCCAGATCACCCGGGAAACGCCTCATGGGTGCCTTTGTCGCCCCTCTCCACTGTGCCTCGCCGGAAAAATAGCCCACTCTGGCGGGGCAGAGGCTTTTTTTTTTTTTTTTTAGTCCCGCCCAAAAAACCACTTAAGCTAGTCTCAAAACTAGTTTTTTAAAACACTATTCTCAGGCTTTTCGGTTGCCCTCATTTTTGTAATTTTTGTTTATTTTAGCCTAGATATATAGTAGATGCCTTTTGTACGATGTTCTTCTTGCTTGGTTTAGTGTTACTTTTCCAACATCTGTATGCTGTATTTGTCGTGATGGTTTGTACATGATTTGATAAATGCTGAATATTGTTCACCAGATAGACTAATTTGAACATGTTGGGTCTGTCAGGGAGCCATCTGCCCGGAACATGAGGCATGGATTTGCCTCTGTAGTACTACGTCTTCTAGGAAACCGAGTTGTGCATGAGGGTGCAGACCTATGCTTCAATATCATGCAGAGTACTTTCTCTAAGAGGGATGCAGAGTCTTCAAGAGAAGCTGCCTCTGCAGCTTTTGCAGAATTGTCAAATGAAAGTCTCTTTAATCAGTTATTGTTCGTTCTTCATGGGCTGTTAAGCAGTTACCGGCCAAGGTGGTTGAGGTCTACTAAGTCAACAAATGAGGGGGGAAAAGATTTTGCTGCATTTGATTGTGAACTGGCAGATATTTTGCAGGTTTGGTCTTCTGTAACCTTCCTCATATCCTCCATTCCTTTTGTGTCCTACAAACAACAAAATAGAAAAGAAAAGAAAGGAGGGAAGGCAAAGTTTTAAGGTGCTTCTCTTTTGGAAGCAGTACTGCTATTTTATAAGTTACATTACAAACTTCTTGTAAGCTTTCTAGAACATACCCTGCACTCCCAAGAAAGGAAAAAAAAAGTGCCAAATTTTGACCACTACATAGAGTAGGCACCGTCAGTTTCAATTTTATTTAACAATGAACAAAATAACTTCATTGTTTCAAAGTCCTCCCCCACTCCCTTCTTTTGAAGTTATGTCAAGTGATGTATGTGACATTAAAAGTTTGCATTCCATGAACCCCATCCGTTTGCTGGATGAATATACCTGTATTGGGATTTTCGACAAAATTAATTAAGTTAAAAAAATATGTTTACGTATCCTGTCTTGTTGAGTGTTAGTACACTTTTTCCATTCAATCTGTTCATTTGTTAATATTGATTATGAATTTCAGTTTAGGTAAATGGTTTTCTACCTGTCTTATATGTGTACTTGTGAATGCAGAAAGACTTAGATCGAATGCAGCTTCCTGAAATGATTCGCTGGCGTATCCAAACTGCAATGCCAGTGGTTCTCCCTTCTGTTCGGTGCTTTTTCTCTTGCCAACCACCACCTGTTCCAGATACTGGTTTGGCTGTTTTTCAACCCAGCATATCGGTTTCTGGGTTGCATGCTGGAAACTCAAACCCACCTCAGAGAAATCAGGCTCCTCTTGCGCGAACAGTAACTAACATACCAGGGAAATTTAAACCATTGCCATCACAAGATTATGATATGGATATTGACCCATGGACGCTGCTGGAAGATGGTGCAGGATCAGGCCCATCTTCAAGTAGCAGTGCTTTGATAGGCAGTGCGGACCATGGCAATCTTCGAGCATCTAGCTGGCTCAAGGGGACTGTGAGGGTGAGACGAAAGGATCTCACATACATTGGTGCTGTGGATGATGACAGCTGAGTTCAAAAGAAAACTTTGCTGTTGATTTTTCTGGAGTGAGACCCCCTCAGCAGGTAACTTAATGTTTACATTCATTGTGCATAATTGGTATAAGGATCAACGTGTTGTGCGGGTCCTTTTCTTTGATGATCGAGAAGCTGTTGAGAGGGAAATTTTTTTGGGGGGGACGCACAAGTTCCTTTTGGAAAAAATTTAGCATGGGTCCTTTTGGAAGAAAATTGAAGATGTTATGCAGCCCATACTATCGGGTCTTGTGGCTGCTTGACTACTAACCCTTCGATCACCCCCCCATCCAAATGTGCACCTCCGCATGCTGTACGGAGGGCAGTTGTATATATAGAGATGATTTGTTCACTTTACCAATTGATCTGAGTAAGATATCTGCAGAATGATATGTAGCTGTTCTTTTTTCTCCTTATAATCAATCTCTACGTTATACTCTCTCTCTCTCGCTCCCACATGCACACACAAATGTGTGCCTGCACAAACAAAAAACAAGTATATTTCATATTTACATACTTATATTGTCTTATTATTATGGGCACATTTACATTTATTCTGCTGTCTGAAAAGTGGTCCTTTCCTGGTGTGCTGTCGTTTAAGATGGATATGATTTGTTAATAGTCGAAGAAACAAGGCATACTGGTAGATGCTAGTGGTGGAATGGAGAGCATCACAATGTCAGAAAAACACAAACCTCACCAGCTGCAGTTTTTCGGTCATGTACTAAATAAGATTTAGGAATGGTTGAAGACTCGTTTGGATGTCTGGGACCATGTCTATGTGGTCAGATTACTTATAGTTTACTTGGGATTATCAGGAAGATTGATTCTTCAGTTTCAGTTGGTAGTATGCGTTGAATTCACGTTCTCTTTCTATTTTATTTTGTGTCATCCCAAAAGCTGAGTTCATTCTTCCTTCTCCCGCACACTTACTGTGCAATAAGCTTGTTTTATAGCGCTGTATTTTCCAGCATTATTGTTGGTATTGTTGGATGGATGTTTTGCATTTCGGACAAAACTGCTTTGTGACGAACGCATAGTCTTTGCAGTGTATTCTATTCATATATGTAATGGTGATTTCCTACAGAGATCTCTGCTTGGTACTGTAGTAGTTTTGTGTATGCTATTTTGACATGATCTTTATTGATTCCCAAGGAAAATTACTTTCGTATTTGAATTCGTTTCAGCTGCAAGTATATAGCGTTAGTTGTGCGATGCTGCTGTCCATCTTGTGAACAATTTTTTTTGATCGTGTGCACTTGTGGGGCGAAATATTATCGGATTCCTTTTCTTGATACAGTATAAATGGTTGTCATGATCTTGCTGATCTTAATGGAAAGAGTCGTTTGGATTCCTTTGGTCATGCAAATTTCAGGCTGTTTCGCCACCATTTCTTTCCTGTGTTTGCGTCGGAAATCTATACTTTCAATGAAAACAAAGGCTGTTTTGTTGCTTGGTTCATCTACCAGACTATCATGTGCGATGGGGTTCAGTGATTTGTTGTTGCATCCTACAGAGATCTCCCGGCAGGAATATATTACTCCCATAACCGGAGCATCAGCCGGGTTCACCAAGACTCCGGTTTGATTGGTTTTAGTATTTCCTGCAAGCTTCACGAAATAGAGGATTACAGATACGTAGAAATTCTACAACACTTAAAATTTGTTTGATTTGGTTAACTGGATGCTAATGTACAAATTCACGCCGAGTTTCTCAAAACGTAGAACAGGGGAAACCACTAAAAATTAGCTTAAATAAGTAATTAAGCAGCTAAAGTTAAATTGTTTCAAAATTTGTGGAATCAAATGTTGGATTTGAGAAGAATGCTCCAACTCAGTTGCATTGCAGTCTCTCTATTTGTCTTGGTTTCTCGCGGATCTGTCAACACAAATTACATCTTCAATCCAGGCAACAATGTTGAATGCCAAACTCTCCAACACTCTTGAGTAGCTCTCTAGCACTGCCTGCCCCACATCCTGCAAAAACGCCGACACGAAAACAGTCAAAATTTTACGGGTGCTCGAAGGAATCGTGTTTTGCTCGTTTTCTAACAAGGTATTGTCATGTCGTCTGTCACGTTATTTGTTGAACGAATTTAGCACCTGTAGAAAATGTTCGTGTGATTCATATCGGGTAGTAACTTAGAAGTGACACTTGAATGTGCTTACCCTATTGCATTGGATCTTGCATGTGTCCAAGGATGTCTGAGAGAGCTCAGGATATCTCTGCTTCAAACAGAACAGCAAGCACTCGGCTCTCTCTGCCAAAACATAATTCTTGTCATTCCATTCTGTTTCTGACATCAGATCTTTCACCATGATCCAGGAAGATTTTGAGTTGCTCATGCACGCTTTACGCCTCCACGTGTACATCGAGGCTTCGACCCTGTCTGCAAGAATAAGTGCTTCCAGTTCAGTTGCTATGTCGAGGCAGTCCAGAAGTTGGTCTGGGGAGAACTTGTCCGTCGTGCACATGTAGTGGTATATGGAGTCTCCCAGACAAGCTTTTCCGCTCTGAGAAAAATTGTTTCGTAGAAGAATAAAACCAAGTTAGATAAAACCTACTATTTTACAAGAAACAAAACGAACCAATGTAGAAGGGAAGTGATTTCCACATACTCGTTTTCTCCCCTGCATACTCTTATCCATTTTTAGCCTTTGAATTGTATAATCAAAAGAAAATCAAGGGAAAAAAATAAACGTGGGTGTGCGGAAGGAGAAAAGAGTGTGCGGATATCATTTCCCTAGCTTTTCAGCATTAATTGGTTGCAATTCTTGCAATCTTATTCTTATAAACCATAGCTATCTAGCAAGTTTGTAGAATTTCATTAGGATCAACTATAGGATTAAATCGACCCCGAACTTCAAGTTAAAAGGGTTCAGGGTTCGAATTCGACCACAACAAAACTTATGTTGGTTGATTGAGGACTTACCTTCGGAAGAGTTGACATGTATGAGTCTGGGATTTCCATCTCGGCAAGAATGCTGCTGTTGATTGCCATGGCTGCTTTATGAATTTGATTACAACTGTCGCGTTTGTGTTTCAAAAGCTTCCTTGCCTTCTCAGACAGGCCTCCCGGAGGAACGCATGGAATAGGCAACCACCATTTCTCCTCATTCCGCTGAACAACCACCCTACGAAAAGATCCTGTTCGCGTTGAATTTGAAGACATGCTCCCTTTTTCTGCATACCAGAATTCTGTATCCTGGAAACTATCAAGTACTTCCTGCCATAAGAAAAGAAATTCATGAACTTTCAGCCCTTGATTGAAAAAGACTTGCTCTGTTTTGAGAAAAATATGCGATTTCTTATCACGCAAGGCAAGTCTTACAATGAGCATTGCATCAAGCTTTTGCAAAGCTGGAAGATTGATATAAAGATCCGATCTTGGCCTGCTTTCCATCAACTGAAAGACCAATACACAAAATGTTAGAACAAGCAAAGATAGCAGAACCTAATCCAACGAAAGGAGGGTTTTCGACAATTACCTCCACTTGTGCCCCCTCTTGTAAGTTTTGTGATATGGGGATGAGTTCTACCATGTAATCACAGACTGATAAAAGACAGTTCATCTCCCTCTTCCACATTGCTTTCTTCTCAGGATTCAATGGCTCTAGCCTCAAGTTTTGTCCAAACACCGTGGCTGCAGAAAATCCGAAAAGTTGACTCATTGAGATTGAAATCGAAAAAATCGACATATTAAGTTCTTATTCATCTTCAAAATCTGCAAGCAGAGAGTTACCATAAAGGTTGGTTATCGAATTTGAGATCGTGACCGCGGTGCATACACCTTTCCCACTTCCTGACATGTCTTCACCCAACAAGAGTTTTGCAAATCTTTCTTTCATCATCTCAAGCTCTGCCAAATTTCATATTCCAGTCGCTTATTAGTGCTTTTAAATTGTTTTTTTTTTTTGGTGGGGAAGTGATTTCCACACACTCTTTTTCTTCTTCTGTGCGTACCTCTGTCTATTTCTATCCCTTGGGATTAATCCATCCAAAGGTCGGCAAAAAGGAAGGTACGCAGAAGGTGAAGGGTGTGCAGAAATTATTTCCCTCCTCTTCATAAACATAACTGAAACCTACCTGAATCAACAGCTTTGTGATCTTCAAGCTTATCATCGGAAGCATTCTTATTGTACTGCTTCAATCCAAGTCTGGTAAGAGACAGCGGATTGGATTTTACATTTGGGTAGAACCAAGGAGAAGCTTCACCAGAGTAACTGCTGTCATCCACAGACTCGGAGTAAGCCGAGGTCTCTGAATTTGTCCGGCGGTACATGAAAGAATCGCCACTTGTTGAAGTTTCCGCGAGCGAATGATCAGTTTGATCCACAGAAGAAGGTGAAGGCTGGTAACCAAGATCGTAGTGTTCATCATAACTTGGTGAATTGTCCATTGCAGCTCTAAAACTTGAGGTCTTAGTCTAAAATCTCAAAAACCTGCACAGAATTTAATCATTTAAATGTGACAATTTGGGTTAGTTGTAGGACTCACAATCCAAAAATAAGACCCGGGAATTGGTTTATATTCTACAATTTTGAATTAGAAATAAAATTGTAAAAAAGAAAGATGAAAAAAAGTACGTATCGTATGCTTTGAAACAAAAGCAAAAGAGGTTTGAAATAGGTTGTTTTTTAGGAGGACCAAAATAAATTATTGATTGATATGCAGCTAAAATTTAAAGCAAAAAAAGCAATCTTGGAGGGATTTTTTGGGGTGAAACCAACTGAAATTTGAAAATTATTTAAAAGCAAACGGTTGAATGAAAAAAGAAAACGTTGTAACATTCTTTCTTTTTACCTTTTAATGCATGAATTTGAATTTGAACTGTTGAAGTTGGCTGAAGACCGTTTGAAATACTTCCCTCCTCCTTAGCATTTGCCTTTGATCTTCAAACACTCTTTTTTTCCCTTTCTAAAAGAAAAGTTTTCCCTGAAAAATGAAATGCTCACATCACCATGATCGTGGAAAATGTAACATGCTAGCCGTCCGATCGTCGAGTTCTTGAGTGATGATATTAAACAGCACAAACCCAGAAGCAAAAATGGTTGTATTTCAGACAGGTAGACTGCATCTTAGTTGGGCATGAACGTCATGTACATGTGGCTCTGCAGGGTTATATTCATGAATCTCTGAGTACGTGAAATATAATAACGTTTAGAAGGGATAATAAATAATAATTTGGAAACAGTTTTGCAGATTAAATTAAGAAATAATAATGTAGTTTTAATATGGATGCATATACGTGTTGTGTATGTTAAGATTTGTATTGACTAATCAATATTTTCTTCTCTAAGTGCTTCTGAATGAGACGTAACCAAATTTATGGGTCACATTTGTTAATTGTGCTTAATTATCTCCATCAAGTTGGCTAACTTTGATATCTCTGTCGAGCCTCCATTACCTCCCTCAACCTTAATCAACTTCCCTCATGCCATAATCACCTCCATCTACCTTGTTTTTGGTTCTTTGATTTTTATTCTTGTAGTTTCTTTTTGGTGGTGTGCTACATACACCAAATTCAATCACTCACCAAATGATGTGGCACGTTTTACACCTTATAAATTTTGTTGCAATTATTATTCAAATTCCAATTTAAATTGAAGTACATATTTGATTGATGCAATATCATTTGGTGCAAAAATTTGGTGTGCCAAGCTAGTATTATTCTTGTTGTGGCCAATTTTCTAAAGGAGAGAGCTGGTGAGAGTGGTAAGAAATTGTAGAATGCTTAGGGATTGTGTGATTCTCCCTATGTCGGGGGCTTTATTTATAGTAAACCAAGAGTATATAGTAAAGTCTAAAAAGAAAGAATCACTAGAATAATGGGTAATCTAAAACTCAATCTAACTAGGATTTATAAATCACATATAGTGAATAATCTTCATAACAATCCTTTATTTTTTTAGTATTTACCCGGCATGATAATACTTATTTGTTGCAAGAGGTTTGTGATTTAGTTGATATTTTTTTTTTAGAAATAACACGCGATATTAATCTAATCTATGTTAAGGAGTGGGGAGCATTTGAACCAGGACATAATGGATGAAGAGAAATGTCGTATTTACTTGGATAACTTGGATGATTCATCACTTGCTTGATTAGCAGAACACTTTCCACTACACTTGAGGTTGGATTCCTCCTCCCATTATTGCTTGTGTGAAAAGAAAAACAACTCTACTTATTCATCAAATGAATTTCTCTTGATTTCCTTGGTGGGCTAATTTTGAGAAGAAACGAAAATTCCATTGCTATTATGTCTTTGGACCTAAAAAATAAGACTTGAATATTAAAAGAAAAATTTAGCTTCTGAAAGAGTTGTATAGACGTGCCTCCCATAATCCATTCTTCGTGCTTTGGATGCGTGATAAGGTTGACATATAGTAATTAATACTAGGGGATGTATCATAACTATATTTAAGGTCAAACGTTTTTTTTATTCCCTCAATTAATCAATTCATGAATCTGACTCTCTATGTTGATGTTGTGCTCGTCTTGCCTGCATTATTGTTACCTATATATATTTTTTTGACAAACGATAGTTTAATGGATTAAATTGTTAGTTATTAGAGGAAGGAGGATCGGTAGAATTGAATTTGCACTAGAGTGTATATGTATCATTACGTTCGGCCATTCCGGTAAAATGTCATCTGCTTGTTGCCTATATACTTGAAACCAGTAAATTCGGCCTACTCCGCATTAAAATCTCATGATATCCCTATCGTTTTATGATTTCTTTGAGACTTAATTCTAGCCCTTGAAGCGTTGAGAGATAGATGGAATAAAAGTTGCCCGGCGCCCGGTGGGGAGTGCTAAGTATAACGAATTGTTATTTGAATCATAACAAAATGATAAAATTAGGGGAGAAGGAATGAGAAGCACTTCTACTTTTGTTCCTCCTTTTTTCATTTTCCTTTTTCTAGTCTAATGTGGTGAATAATAGTCCATTTTTGTTGACTTCGTCTTTATCTAATTTTTTATTTTGTTAGATAAAACGATAGAAATTTTGTTTGATCAAAGAGAAATATAATCGTCTAGAATAATATCGCATATTAAATTCGGAGGTTCCTCAAACTAATAAAACTCAAAATCATGAAATAAAGCCAATAGATAAAATACGTAGGTTCTTCAAATCAATAAAACTCAAAATCAGGAAATAAACACACTCAAGGTTTCTCCTTTCTCCCATGTGAGATCGATACTCTTAACACACCCTTCACGTGCGGCGAGTTTTCAAGCCTAGCATGTGGACAATACAAATCTGGTGGTGGAGCACCTGTGACCGTTGGATTTCACATGCATGACAACCTACTCTGATACCATGAAGAAAGTTGGGATTCCACCATAAAACTAATTAGCAATATGGGGAGTAGCCCAACTATTTATAAGCATATGCATATCCTTCATTTCGCTGATGTGACATTGATACTCTCAACATGCGCTTATTCAGTGGTGGCATTCATGATTTAAAATTTTGAGAATTAGTAGGTGTTTTTGGGTAGTGTAGGTTTTATAGTTGTTAGTTCCTCTTTTGTAAGTGTTGGATTTGCTTTTGTGCGATTGTCTCTCATATGAGTATCATATATAGTAGAGATGGTGTGATTATCTTGATACAACTTGTAGATTTGTTGATGGTTTTGCGTGCATAGCCTCTATTATAGCAGTTACTATTGGCTTCTTTTGCAGTTTATTTTCAAAGTCAACAATACTTGTATTTAAAGAATGTTCCCTTAACAATTTGCTCTCTCCCAACAACGTTTTGCTCTCTCCCAAAAAGCTCTCCCTATTTCAACCAAACCCTAGCTGTCAACCCCTTCGCCGCCGGCCTCTAGCTATGGTTGGGGGCTAGTGGCAGCCTATCCCCTCCCTTTCCTAGCTCTTCCTCCCTTCCTCTTCCCCCCTCTTCCCCATCTCAACCATCATCCACCCCTCACCATTCTTGTTTCTTCCCACCTCTTCACGCCGACCCTTCATTCCCGACATTTCCCTTCCTCCTCTCATCTCCCTTACTTCTCTCCCACCATTTTGGGTGTAGATATCCATGGATCTATGCCCTATACCCTGACCAGGGCCATGCCCCTTCAAGATTTTCTTCGATTTGGCACTCGTTTTCCTAGTGTGGGGTTTAAATTTGTGCTGCAGGTGAGTTGGATCCCCCCTCGTCAACTCGGTTGCATGGTGGTGTCACCCTCCTTAACAGCTTCGATGCTTTCAACTCTAGAAGATTGGTTTGGTTTGGGAGCTTGGTGTGTACGTCTGTTGTGGCTTGGCTCGGCTTATGCGTGGATGTCGACATCCCACTGTCCGGAATTTGTAAGTGGCCTTGGCATGAGTGCCTTGTTCCCCCTGTTATGAGTTGTACATCAGAACCCTTCTCTGTGTAGTGTAGTTCCTCTCGCCCTTGTGCACCGTGGTGGCACTGGTGTTTTGGCTAATTTGGTCTTCGCTTTTGTGCATTGTGTATTGTGAGTCTCGTATGCTAACGATGACTTTGACGTGGTCTCGCACTTTCACAATGACTTGTTGTGGCCTCGTTATTCAACAATGACCGTTGTGTCTGTCGGTATCTCTCTGTTGCGACTATCATTTATTGTGACAGATCTGTACTGGTAGTTCTTGTGCGCTTGGCGATTGTGTGGTTGTGCTTGTGGGTGTCTACTAGGGTTTTACTGTTATTTGCCTGTTTTGTGCAAATTCATTCCAGATCAATTTATTGGTCACTGGAATTATGTACCCAATGACACTCTGTAATTGTTTGGTGTTGATTAATGAAAGACTATGCTATCGTTTCTTGTAAAAAGAAAAAAAAAGTTTGTTCCCTTACAAGTTTTAGTTGGTGATTTCATGTGCAAAATCTCTCATATAGCGAATTATAAATTGATTGAATTTCTAGTTGCCAGGATTGAAGATCTTTAGGCTTTTTGGATGTGACTTGCATTCCTTAACTACTTCTTTGTGCTTGTCAAGGCCACATATCCACCAGTATGGTGACTATTACCTTCACCAAGTTGGCCTTATTTTTTGCTTTTGAATCTTTGATTTAAAGACTCTCAAATTTAGTCCATGATGCCTTATTTTAAGTTTATACATTGTATTAATGTTATAATTAAGTCGTTATTGTTTTACCTCAAAAATATGTAATCATTTATGTAAATATTCACCCAAATCTCTGGCCCTTTATGATTTAGGTTTCAAGTGTATGGTTTCTTAATCTTGAAGATGTATCATATGTTATTATCAGACTAACAATTATCACATAAGTTATGTTTGTACCATACTTAGGGCCTCCGTATTTAAAACTCGTATAAATACTCGAGGGACTCAAATGTAATTATGTAATAAATGAAGGGGCAAATATGTAAAAAGGGGAGGAGCCCTTAGTCTAAAAGGGTCTCCTCACCCTCACAATCCTCAAGCTCTGATATTCAGAGCAAAGCTCTCATCCTCACATACAGTGGACACAAAGCTCACAAACAGAGAGCTATCTCAAACTCTCTCTTTCTCAGCTCACAAACAGAGAGCTCTCTCAAACTCTCTTTCTCTGGGGGGACTCCTTCACACTTGTAATCCATACATTCATACAGAGAAGAGAAATACAATCAACATCAGTGTGGACGTAGCCCAAACATTGGGGTGAACCACGATACATCTTGTGTTCTTTACTTTCTTGTAGATTCACGTCGGATTTACGTTGTTCCAAGACCTTCGGTTTTGTGCATCAACATTTGACACCGTCTGTGGGAAACGACACGAAAAACTATGTCTGTTCTTTTTCATTTTTTCACCTCCACCGTGAATCTGCAAAACCCACACAGAGACATAGACACAGAGCTCTCTCTCTGCCTTTGAACTCACGCCTTTCCCCACAACCCACACATTTTTCCACTTTTCAGAAAAGCCAAACCCCCCCCCCCAAAAAAAACCTCCAGAAATTGGAAAGAAGTAGATCAAACAACCAAAATGTCTTCTATCATCACAGCAGAGATCAAGTCCAAGGCAGACGAGCTCTACCATGGAGATGAAATCTGCAAACAGAAATCAAAAGAGTTTCTCTCAGAAATCTGCCTCCCCAATGGCCTTTTGCCCCTCAAAGACATCGAGGAGCTTCTTAATTTCTCACTGGAAAACCCGCAGGGTCTCTCGTCGGAATCAGAATCGGGTCGGGTTGGCCGGGATGCTCCACTTTTGGACTTTGCGTCTTCACGAAGCTGAACCTCAAAGCTGCTCGCTTGCTTGTTTCTTCTTCTTCTTCTCCTCATCTGCTCAGAGCTCTCAATCTCTTGGGTTCCCATTTTTTACCGTCTCTCTGTATAATGGGTTGTGCTGGATCGTCACAGACCAAAAGAGACGGGATTTTGCTGAGAAGATAGGAAACTGCTGAGATCCTCGACCAGTACAACAACGCCGTTTTGGCTTATAAGAAGGGTCTCGAGATCGATCCCAATAATAAGGCTCGGAAGTCTGGTTTGGTCAACACTCAAGCTGGTGCGGCCCGCTCCCGGGCTGGACCTTCGCCCATGAACCCTGATGCTGAAGCTTTCTCAGGTCTCGAGATGTGGGCCAAGCTCACAGCAGACCCGTTGACCCGAGCTTTCTTGCAACAACCCCACAAAGCTCGAAGCTTTCTCCAATGGCGTCCTGCAAAGTTATCTCTCAATTGGGCCATTCATGATGCCGCTGGATTTGATCAAAGATAACAAACATAATATTACACACACTTTTCTATATAAGAGCCTTGCCTATGATAATTTTCTTGAAAGGTAAGTGCACTATAAGTTGAATTTTTTTGGAGGAGAAACACTCTCAGATTAAGTTTGGTTTCAAAACCAGACGTGCTGTTGGAAACAAGAAATGTTTGAAGGGCCCTCATCGTCCTTCTATTCCTCACTGTCATCCCCTTGACCAACAACAACCAGCAACCAAAAAATGCCTCATTTTCCCGCTCTTCCACAATCTCGGCCTCCTCGTCTTCCGGCAATGGCAGCCCTCCCAAGTCGTTCGACTACGACTTGCTCATCATCGGCGCCGGTGTCGGTGGCCACGGTGCCGCTCTCCATGTCGTCAAAAAGGTTTTGAAAACTGCCATAATGAGGAGATTGGAAAGGGATCTTAAGAAAGCAGGAAAAGGAGATTGGATAGGGATCTCAATAAATCTGGTCCCTACCACTGTTGGCAAGCATGGAAACCATGATTGCGGATCTGGACAGCGGTCATCCACTATCCCACTGAAAAAAAGAAAACCCACGGGATAACATGCAAAAGTATCCCACTGAAAAAACACTCATGAGGAAGCAGTGGTCACATGCGCATGTTTAATGCTATGGTGGACACCACCTATTATTCTATAGAGAATTTCAATTTCTTTGGGATCTCTGTGGCTGCCCCTTGCAACTACCAGCTGCACATGCTATCCCACTATCCAACCATCTGCCATACCCACCTTCTACAGCAGTTTTTTTTAATGATGTAATTTATTTTTCTTATCTTTCGGAGACATCTGTATAAACCCCATCAGAGGGTAATCATAAAAAATAAAAATAAAAAAAATAAAAACGGCAAGCCCAAAATAATGGGCTGGAATGTTATGTGGAAGGCCAAGGCCCATATGCCCAAAAGAGCCAGGCCCTATGACTTCAAATTTATCCAACGCCTTGCCGCTATTATCACCAACCAAGTGATCAAAAGTACGTCTAGTACTCCAAATTTATTCGGCACCCTGCCGCTATTATCACCAACCAGGTGATCAAAAGTACGTCCAGTACTCCAAAATTATTCGGCACCCTACCGCTATTATCACTTGGTGATCAAAAGTACGCCTAGTACTCCAAAATTATTCGGCACCCTGGCGCTATTATCATAAACCAGGTGATCAAAAGTACGCCCAGTACTTCAAAATTATTCGGCAGCCTGTCGCTATTATCACCAACCAGGTGATCAAAAGTACGTCCAGTACTCCAAAATTATACATGAGCATCACTCATGTCAATCATACATAAACATTCATAGCATCACTCATGTCAATCATACATAAACATTCATGAACATCATTCATGTCAACATTCATAAGCATCACTCATGTCAACATTCATGAGCATCACTCATATAAACATTCATGAGCATCACTCATGTCAATCAGCTTCGAAAGCTTCATTTACAGAGCTCCAGCTTTGAAAGCTTCATTTACGAAGCTCCGACTTCAAAGCTGCATTTACAAAAGCTCCAGCTTCAAAGCTTCACTTTCAAAAGCTACACCTACAAAGCTTCAGTGCATGGTATCCAAAGACAACCTCCAAACAACTGCCACTTCGGCCCATACATGGATTGAATTTGAAGTCTCCAGCCAACAGACCCTCTTGACTGAAGACTTGGGGGACTACACTATGTACCATATATTGGGCTTCCGCAACAAGGCCTCATAAAAAATACTTGGGGGACTTAGCCCATTATTCATGTATTGAAGAGCGAACCCTTATTTTATAAAAGGGACTCATTCACTTTCATTAGAGAGCACCCATTATTCATGTATCGATGAGCGAGCCCTTATTCTATAAAAGGGACTCCCTCACCATCATTAGAGAACATCGCCGCCAGCTGAGCAACCGCCTCGCCGCAAGCATCGCTCTTAGCCCATCACTTATATATCGAGGAACGAGCCCTTATTCTATAAAATGGACTCCCTCACCATCATTAGAGAGCATCGCCGCCAGCTGAGAAACCGTCTCGCCGCAAGCATCACTCTTAGCCCATCACTTATGTATTGAAGAGCGAGCCCTTATTATATAAAAGGGACTCCATCACCATCATTAGAGAGCATCGCCGCCTGCTGAACAACCGTTTCACCACAAGCATTAACTCTAGCCCATCACTTATGTATTGAGGAGCGAGTCTTTATTCTATAAAATGGACTCCTTCACCATCATTAGAGAGCATTGTCGTCTGCTGAGCAACCGCCTCGCCGCGAGCATCAACTCTAGCCCATCATTTATGTATTGAGGAGCGAGCCCTTATTCTATAAAATGGACTCCCTCACTTTCAACACCACAAACCGAGCCAACCAAGGCAACATAAGCCACAAGTCGAGCAACCTTGCAACATGTGCTACATCTAGTTGAGCATTATTTCACATTGAGCACCGTCTCATATTGAGTATTTAGTTCTAGACGACATCTAGTTACTTCGGCTCACACATGGACTGAATTTCAAGTCTCCAGCCAAAAGACTCTCTTGACTGAAGACTTGGGGGACTACTGTTTGTACCATACTTAGGGCCTTCATATTTAAATCTCATATAAATACTCGGGGGACTCAAATGTAATTATGTAATAAATGAAGGGGCAAATATGTAAAAAGGGGAGGAGCCCTTTGTCTATAAAAGGGCCTCCTCACCCTCACAATCCTCAAGCTCTGATACTCAGAGCAAAGCTCTCATCCTCACATACAGAGGCCACAAAGCTCACAAACAGAGAGCTCTCTCAAACTCTCTCTTTCTCAGCTCACAAACAGAGAGCTATCTCAAACTCTCTCTCTTCTCTGGGGGACTCCCTCACACTTGTAATCCATACATTCATACAGAGAAGAGAAATACAATCAACATTAATGTGGACGTAGCCCAAACATTGGGGCGAACCACGATACATCTTGTGTTCTTTACTTTCTTGCATATTCACGGTCGAATTTACATTGTTCCAAGACCTCCGGTTTTGTGCATCAACAAGTTATAATTCTAGTGATAAAATATCTGCACTTTGTATTGACGGATTCTTTTTAAATGTGAAGATCACATCGTTTCGTCATTTTCTTTTCTTATTAAAACAAACAATGAATTGTTTTGAAGTATAACATGCCAATATAAAGAAAAAGAATACTGATTCCAATACATATTATACTCATGATGTGATTCCCTAAGTATGCTTCTACTTATTTTTAGAATCCGTTCTGTGACAAAACAAGAACCTCCACCATAAAATTCTCCAGAAGTTGGCAATGCTCCTACAGATTGATCCTCTTGGTTTAGTCTTGTCATCTGCCGAGAATTCCCTTGTCTCTACCACATGAGATTCTTTCTGCATGCATATATAGTACAATCATCATGCAACATGTTTAGCATTGCAAAAAGAAGTTGACAAATAAACTTGAGAAATGTTCGCTTGTTGGTTAACGTACTTAACAGTCTAACATGTTACGTGCGTTGCTAGACTAAATTAGATCCTCAATTATAAAATCTTGTTTGATTGCACGATTTATTAATTCGTCAACAATGTAAGTATATACGTACATTTGCAGTAAATCGAAATCCAATTTTTATCTCTCCTTTATAGGTGTCATCTTCAAGCACCACATTGTATGGAGCTGGTTTTAATTCAATAAATCCTCTGTCCTTTCCCTCAGTAACTATCCCACCAAGATGAATCCTGCATAGCAGAAATTAAAGCTCGTTATTGAGAAAAAGAAAAGATTAATGATTAATTAGCAGAAAATGAGATTTAGGAATAACATGCACATAATTTAGTTTAGGGTAAACACGAGAGATATTAAGGCATTCAAGTACATGGTTTCACCAACAAATCCACCATCTGTGAATAATTCAGTGTCCATAATTCTGAGTTTGAGATGAGTCAACTTTTTCCAATTTGATAAGGGGAATTCAAACGTGAATTTTTCATTCCAGCTAACTCTTTCATCTTCATCTGCATATGCATCACAGAACCCAATTTAAATTAATAGGAAAACTAATGAAAATGGCTTGAAATTTTTAGTTTTAACGATAAGGACAAAATAAAGGACAAAATAAAGGGTAAAATGAATAGTATCAGGTTTGACTTTTTAGTGTAAAAATGTGATTTTTCGTCAAAAGTGAACAGTACCAGGAATTTTTTGTTAAAACTCCCTTAATTAATTAGCTAAGGAATGCTGTATATATATGCATATCGGCATATTTGGCGATTTGCCCCTTGACCTTGTATGGAGTTGTCAATTTCTACCATGAACTTTAATTTTAGTCGATTAGCCCCTAAATTTTTATAAATAGCCAATTTCCTCCCTAACATTAAATTTTAAAAATTTTAATCCATGTTGATCACGAAAACAATACATAACAACTGTATGAGGGCAAAAATGATGAAAAATTGGATGGATGAAAAATTGAAAGAAAGTTTTTAAAATCTAAAGCCAATGGGGGAATTGGCTATTTATAAAAGTTCAGAGAGGTAATCGGCTAAAGTTAAAGTTCAAGGGGAAAATTGGCTAATTAAAAAAGTTCAATGGGTCGGCTAAAATTAAAATTTAGGAGGAAATTGATAGTTGCATACAAGTTCAGAGGGTAAATAAGCAAATACCTCTATGCATATATAGCAGTATAATAATCCAAATGGGAGTCCAAAGAAGAATAAATTTAAGAAACACCTGATGATTGCTTGCTTCTGTATTCTTGGTTTCCACACTTTATGATCACGTAGTAGGATGGTCTACCTGTAACAGTAATTTTGGAATTTTCGATTTAATCCCTAAATCAACCACCAAAACCAAGTGTCCACAAAGGGACACTCGTAACAGAAATTTAGTGTAATTTGTCTAACGGACTCAAATATTAGTTCAAGAAATTAATTGGGAAGTGAAATAAAACTAAGAAAAATAGAACATTGTTGTTTAATTTCGAGGATCTTTTATTTTTTTTAACATAGATTTCCTAGTACGCATAGTGTTGATTTGTAGTAAAAATAAGTGAAATCTACTGTTGTGTGATAATCCCCGCATAAATTTTACTAGATCTTAGCGCGTACAAAACCTACAGGAAAATTGCTCCTTTTGAGAAGGGTGGAGAGTTTAAAATCATATAACCATGGCTTACCAAGAAGATTTGTGTGCCTAATGTCTTCAGCATCAACCAGAAGTACTTCAAGGGTTCCTCCTTTCATGGATGGCGGCATGTGGGCATTCACTCATATTTCACAGAAAATACTTGTATGGTATATATAATGCTGTAATATAATTAGAAAATGAAACTAATGGTGCATGGCAGGTTCACTAATTAACTGGACGTTTAAAGGACTAAGTCTAAGCGTTTAAAGAAGCCACTAATAGACGTTTCATGTCATTTGAATTAAAACGACATGTTTTTTTCTTCTGGTATTAATGTAAAAAAAAAACGTTACAAGAGTGAATCGTCACTTAGTTGGAGGATGTCTTATTTAACTTTTATAAATGATGAAGACGATATATATTTTTGGTGTGTTTATTTTCTCCAATGTAACAACAAATAAAACTTTGAACCATGCAATTTTGTACAAGGAGCTTATAGCTCAAGTAATTAAGAGCGTCTATTCCTACACCTAAAGTGTTTGGTTTGATTTCTCTATGTCAAATCTGATAGGTTGTGCCTGACTTGGGCTCATTATGGGCCAAGCCAAACAAGGCCCAAGATAAAAGTTTAGTATTTGCCTTTGGAACAAAAAAATATGCTCAACGCTGCCACCCGTGTAAACATGGGTCATAGGTGGTGTGTTCAAATGCTGCCACCTTTATGAATCGACGTTGCATCTATTGAAATACTGTCCGTTTGCCAAATGCTCGTGGTTATCGTCTCCACTGGGCATTCCTTTTCTCGGACGCAATCCATCTTCACCACTTGCTTGGGCTATGGATGCTATCGATGATCTCCCACCTTGGGCCTTTGATACTTTTCTCATGGTCTGCTGGTCTATCAGCAGACCTGGGGCGCTCGAAACACAGACTATGTTCCAGGTTCCTCTGACTCTCCTAATGTTACTGTTGCTCGAAGTCTCCACTTGTGACAGGAATTCACCACCCTCCCCAAAGCCATCTCTCCTCCTACTGGCATCCTCCGCCCCCCAAAAAGTGGCTCGCACCGCCATCTGGCAACTTGAAATTGAATGTCGACGGTGCTTGGAATGTGGACAGGAGAATCGGTGGCTACGGCGGGGTTTTTCGCGATGATCGGGGCTGCTTTGTAGCGGCAAAATGTGGTCATTTCTTGAACGCTTTCTCTCGACTTCAGGCGGAAGCTTTGGCTTTCCGTGAACTTCTGGTTTGGGCGTCAGTTAGGGGATTTTCAAAATATCATATTTGAGTCATATTCCCTCCAGATTGTGGAGGCTTTGAAGGATCCTTCCCCCCAATCTGTCCTTCATTGGTCAGGTTGTCGAGGACATCATGGCCCTTCTCTCCTCAATCACTGGAGCTTCATCCACCCATGCTCGATGCCAATCCAATGGAGTTGCTCACCGGCTTGACCGTGTCGGCGTTACATCTAGTCAATCTAGTGAATGGTTGGTTACCCCCCAAGCGTAATCGTTGATTTACTTGTCAAGGATATTGTATCGCCTTAATTGGCTTTTGTAACACTAATTGAACTTATCAATCTACTATCGTTTCATTTACCAAAAATAAAAAAAATAAAAAAAACACCCTCAAACACTTCCTTAGTTTAGTTTAAGCATATTGTAAAATCGACAGTGTGTAGTGGAATAAATGAAATAAGACACAAAATTTATGATGTTCCTTTATAATCAATGTAACTGGAGTACATCCTCGGGGTCAGCAGTAGTGTTTTCATTATAATTTAAAATAACAGAAGTACAAAGATAACTCTCACTATTCTCGCTTCTCTCCTTCCTCTCTTTTTCTTTCCTCTTTCTTCTTTCACAATCTCTTCCGTGAACTTTTCACCTTGATGTTGTGTGGGGTTTTATATTTATATAGAAAGGGGTGTGATATCTACACACCCATTTTTACTTCTTCCACACTTTTTTAGTTTTCGGTCGTCGGATCGGATGAATTAAAAAAAATCAATGAACATAAATTAATAAGAGGTGTGTGAGAAGTAAAAATAGGTATGTAGATATCACACCCCATATAGAAACTAGAAGTAGTGTGCTGCAAGCTTCAACGGAAATGGAAGGACAACTTGCCCATTATTTAATTCTTTGAGTGGACCTTCACTGTTTTACAACAAAGCACAAAATGTACAACATTATAGCCTAGTGGGATCTGCCAACTTGGTATAAATAAATTAATAGTCAAGTAAAAGTTTCACATTGAATACTTCTTTGACAATTAAACGGGAATGATGGTGCAGTTTCCTAATTGCAGAGGGCATTAGTAGCTCAAAGTTCCTTGCTTTATCTGGATAACGACAATTAAAAAATGCAATTGGCTAAAATAATGCAAAACTAAAGAGTAGTGCTAAAATAATGCAATTTATCATTATATCGAATAAATTAAAGAACATCAATGATAAAAAAAAATTAACAAGAATGTATAGGAAGTAAAATTAAGTGTGTGAATAGCACTGTCTAAACTAAATTTTGATTGTCCAACTGATTAGACGTTCTTATACATTCTTTGAAATTGAATCACCTTTATGGAATCACCATTTTACCCACATATAGCTTTTTTTATATAAAAAAATTTAATTCAGGACTTGTATTTTATATAATCATTAGAACACCCAATTTGCCTAATGAAAAAGAGGTGATCTAGCTTTTCAAAATTGTCCTCATTTACTTAAATTGTTCATCATGGTTTCACAGAAGGAAAAAGACTCCAAAAGATATTGGCACTTAGCTTGCTTTTGATTTTAAGCTACCATTTTGGCCATTGTTGATTTCTAGATTAATTACAAAAAAAACCAGTCATCATGGATATTGCTTTAATTTGTGCCAAATGTGTAGCTCATTGGCTTTGCTTGCTCGCTTTGTTTTGTATAATTTTTTAATTTGTTTGATTTGAGGACGTTCCTGTTAGTGAATGCTCTCAATCAAAGTTCATGTCTTTCTCTCAGTTGTTATTTAAGTTTATCATTTGAATAAAGTTTTTTCTTGTACCATCGAGGCTAAAAAGATAAACCAAGTGACATGCGTCTTTGATTTTTTTCCTATGTGGAAAACTAGAGTGGCAGACATGCAATGATATACTTTATATACATAATTTTCACTCAGGTTTCACGTGGTGTTCTAGCTTCAACTTCTACATATGCTTTGCTAGTCAAAAACGTTTTCCAGTAATATATAAGGTGAAATGTCGATTTATTTCTTTTTTGAAATTCAAGTATGATATTCATTTCATAAAGGGAACACGTACAATGAGAGGAAAATGTGCTAATTAATTTAATTATAAGCTGCTAATTTCATTTCTATTATTATATTCAAAGCTGATAATCTAAAACACTTAATTTTTCGTTAACTTAAGTCACGTGACTTGCACGTAAAACATTTTAGATGGTAATACCATCATTTTCTTGCCTAAAAGTCTTTAAAGTTGCATATTTGGAATCTAATTTCTAATTTACCCTCCAAAATTCTCTATACACTCTTTTTTGAAAAGTTAAGTCCTTAGACTCATGAAAAATTACCATTTACCCTCCAAAGTGTCTCACATGACTTAAATTGACAAAAAATTTGAATAAAAGAGCATCAAATCTAATATTAGGGATTTAATTGGCAACTTTTAACTTTAAGGACTGATTTTTCTGATAAATAGTTTATATACCTAATTTTCACTCAGATAATAATTTAAAAACTAAATTGTCACATTACTCTCTCTCTCTCTCTCTCACATATATGCTTTGTGCGTGCGTGTCTTTTGGGGGGGGGGGGTGGTTTAAATATGCAGACCAGAGAACCCAGAAGCCATGCATAACATGCTAACAGAATTTAAGAAAGTCCATACATATGACCTGGATGCCAACTTACAGCCTGTACTCTTGCCTACTTGTAACTGCAAATTAAATTATTTAATTAGCTGCCTTCAATTGATTTACATAGGATTGCTTCACCGAAATACCAAAAGTTATGCTTTAGTTTTAAGTCTATAAATATAGTCAAACATGTTTATGTTTTATTTTTTTGTCATTACATACAATAAAGTTCTGATACACTATTTAAATTAAAATGGTTTAATTTTAATTCTGTGAAGAAACAACTAAATTTCCACTTTCCTATGTCAAATGTCTTAACATAGTGCACCATTTTATCTGCATTAAGAAAAATGGCTACCCTTAAGAACCTCGCAGGTACAAGATTCTTTATTGACTCAACATCATTTAAACGAGCATCCTAAATAATATGAACACTACTTGGCTGCTGCAAATTCTGCAACAACTTCAGCTTCTACCCAACCATAAATGGACATGTGTTCAATCTGTGTCTACAATTTCAATTATTTAGACACTTGTCCATAGGCCTGGCATTTTGAACCCGACCTGACCCAACCCGTTAATATTTGTATTTGGGTGGATGCTTAACGGGTCGGATCGCTAATAGGTGAACCCGTTAAATAACGGATCATTTTAGGTCAACCCGTTAGCACCTGTTAGTTGAGAATATTTTAGTAATTTTAGTAAAGTCTTAATAACAAAAAATAAACTTTATGCGAAAAAATAATAATAATACTTGTTAACGGGTGACCCGTTAGCTTAATGGGTCGGATTCGGATGACCCGTTAGCTTAACAAGTTGGATTCGAATGACCCGTTAACTTAACGGGTCAAGTTGAACCCGATCCAAATTCAATAAACCCGACCCGTTTACAGGTCTACTTGTCCATCTATGGTTGAGTAAAAAATGAGCTACTGCTGAATTTGCAGCAGCCAAATATCGTCCAATTAATACCAGGACATCTCAAACCATCCAGTATCAACACACGATGAGAAAGCATATCAAGTTAATCTATGCGCTACCCCATTTGATTAGACTTTAACCAACCATCTATTTAATAACTTAAACCCCATGTGGACAAAGTAACCTTTTTATCTACATCCTAGGCTCTAGACTCTACAAACTCTAGATGCAATGTCAGAAATATTTCAAACTTCTGTTAAACTCCCCATGCTAGACATTTCTCAGCCAGTATTGCACCCATCTTCTCTATCCTCTCTAGCTGAAGCCTTCAAAACATGG